CTCGTAAGTCTAGTGGAAGGTTGGAGTAAATTATGTGTGCAACGTAATAGCAATTTGTTGTAGAAAATGTCTTTGTAAGTCTTGGTAAGCGTATGCCTTGGCCTAGTGCATGTCGAGTATTATGGTCATGCTATGGACGATCAAAGAGTGTCTCATGGTGTTTGAAAAAAAACATCGAAACTGTTCTGATGAATAGTTGTTTTAAATAAAGTAAATTCATTTCATTGAACAGAGCTTCTGAAAAGTATTGCCTACACTAGCCATTTCATTTCAATATCTTTATGCAATAATTGCTTTTGATTGCCTTTTGTGTTACAACGAAATTTATAAATAGTATTAAACTAAGTTTAAAAATTGACCCTGAAAGTAATAGTACTAAAGCTTTTCACTTAAGTTTGAGCTCTATGGGCCGATTATATTGGCTCTCAAAACATATATCGATAGTAAAACAGTATACACCAGCTTATTTGAAGGGAAATAAATGAAGTTTAAATCTCACATGTACATGTTTCTCGGCCAAAACATTGACTTTACATGACAGAGTCTGTTACCGCCTCCGACTTTGGTCGGTGCAAGATGAGCGGGTTCAATTCCTCGCATATCCACAAAACTTTGATGCGTTTGAACCATTCTCCCTTAAAAATTCTTGTATTAACCTCACCAAAAATGTTACTGGCGTATTCACTAATACCCCCAACGCAGCAAACCTGCAGACTAAATGAATTTCAATTGGATTTCAACTCAAAGGTTTACATAAACAAGTCATATTTATTCCCCACTTACGTAACATAAGATTTAACAGGTACTTAGCTGCTACGTGGAAGGTAAAAGTGTTTTTTTCATTAAATGCCAAATTATGGGAAGAAATCTATAAATTTGCCATATTTAATCAACATGTATCCATAAGCAAGCCAACTACAACAGTTTTATTTTCCATAAGAATAACATTGGAATTTAAAATGCAGATTTTGGGAATTTTCTCTGTAACTTTTAATTGTACAACCAACTTATTTATAAATTTATTTATTCAGCATATGAAATGTTGTTTTTTTATGCTCTACATGATGGCTATAATTAAAATTGGGCATTTCCTTTTTTGTACAGTAAAAATGTGGAAAACCCAATTTGTGAAAAATTAAAGACCCACAACACTCTGTTCCCATAACCGGATCTTGCTGGTTTACGAACATCAAGCTGTACATATTCATGCAAAATTTCATGAAAATCGGATCAAAATTGTTAAGTAAGTTTTCAGGAAAATGTTTTTATTTCTTGTGCTGTATATAATTTATGCATTTGTATTTGCCACCGACAGAGAGAGAGTAGGGGTTTTCAATTTAACCTAGTGGGGTTAGCACAATACCCATTGGTGAACTTGGCGGAAGGATATTTTTGGGAAGTTTTAGCGTCGTATCGGGACGCTTGTCCAGTCTGTCGGTTGCTGGGTTTACCTAACACATGTCACTTTGACATAATTAATTTTTTCTGCCATTGCGGCTTTCCCTCTCATAGATTAATTCACTATTATTGCCACTCGGATTTGTCCGTGGCCCCTTTACACAGTACTCATAACATTTTCAACTCTTTAAATTAAATTAATTTTATTAACCAGTGTAAAGTCGTTTTTAGCAGTGAATCCTCCCATTCCGGTCTACCGCGGTCGCATAGGAACTTATTGTGAGCGCTCATTTTGGACCTTATGGACTTTAGACGTGCGTTATTTCGATATCAAGATCAAGACACTAACATAAGAAGATAGTGTCAAGTGTTGTGCCTTCGTCTTGAGGACATTCTACCACCTACCATCGCAACTCGACCCCGCAGCGCTTCCTTGCCGCTCATTACGTCCGACATAATTCCAAAGGTACATTCATCCATGAATCATGATTAATTATCCCCACACACTAATAAAAAATTACTCGAGTTATCGTGTTCATGGACTACAGGTCCAGGTACTACAGTGTACAGGGTGTTTTTTTAAAACTCAACCCAAATGATTACAACTGCTGTGAGACACTTTTTTCAAGAAAATTTGCTTATATATTTGGTATCCCGTTTATTTACTTTATTCCCGATCAGCTAATATGTATTGTTGTGTAGATATCTAAAAGATTTTGTGTTATTGAGAATTTATTGCAAATTAGACTCAATGTGGTGTTTTCGCAAACTCAAATAGAGTATGGCCTGCGTTTTTTTTTTTTTTTTTTTTTTTACAGATTCAATTTCCTTTATTAATGTCAAAATTTCAAAATTAGCTTTGCATTTTTATGTATGAAATCTTCTAATTTTCTCTGATTGAATGTTTCAGCCATTTAACTGAGAAAAACTTAACAAGATACCGATGGACAGATGGTTTGGAAGGTGCTTTGCTACTGTGCTTCACAATACTTCATTGATAAGGTGTGTGGGTTGGATTATTAAATAAGCTAAAATTACTTGCTTACCTTTTATCTGATGCAATTCCTGCTCAAACAAAATCACAATAAAATAAAACCTAAAAATATTTTTTAAGAACAACTAAACTAAATTTTACTTAAGAAAAACTCAAGAATGACAGTGAACAAGTGTCAAAGCTCAACCTCAACTGAGCAGTTGTTCTTATTCTTCTTCTCTTTCCAGGTAAAATTTGTGAATCGGTGAGTCACTGGACAGAGAGGGAAGAGGGAGGAGGAATGCCTACTCAGCAGCCTAACACCTGCGACACTCACAAGGACAAACACATATAACTATCTGTAAATGAATTTGTATCATTTCAACCAATTCCCTTTTCTCCTATTTATTTATTGTTTAAAGAAAAATATTTATTGAGGTTTTTCCAGATTTAAAAACTTGAACTGTATTAGATTTTACATTTTTATTTTTATTGTTACCTATATAATTTCAAGAACACAGATAGTAGAAAAACATTTTGAGAAAATTAAGGTAACTAAATAAACTAGGAGGTATGTTACTGTCTGATTTATGGTAACTTACCTTAGTATAATAAATGTAGGTTTTCAAAAAGAGGGGAAGTACTCTTAATAAGCTGGTAACTTCCTTATCAACACAAACCAGTCCAACCAAACCAAAAACTTCCAGTTTTCACACTTACTCGTTCTTTCCATCTCCTCAGACTTCTTACTTTAAAATTTGAACTTAAGAACTTATTTTATCAGTGGCATGATCGAGGAGCAAGTGAAGGTGAGGCAGTCGCTCTAAGGCTCTGAGGATCCTAACTTCTTGGAGAATTAATTGCTAGAAATTTTGGATGTACAAGAAACTGACATTTCAATTTCTCAAATCAGGTTTATACTTTGAAAACTAAATATTATTATTATAAATATAAATAATCAAATTACTAATTAAGTAGATTGTAGCTAAATCTCTGAATTGGTCGCTGCGGAGCTCGCTACTGCCTGGCAGTGTATCGACGACGCACGCTATTGATTGAATCTATCTCTTAATAATAGCACTAAGTTTTTTTTACGTTTGCTGTATCCTGTTGCATTTGGCGTGTAGTATTATGGATTTAAATATCCTACTTATTAGTTTAAAATAAGTAGTTTGCTATTGTCATGAAGTTTTTGGACTTACCTCTCTCTACTTTCATTCATAGATTGGCTTATTCACACACATATTGAAACATTCATAGAGCAGTGGAATAGCGTAACGTTTAGCGTTGTAAAGTCTGGATAAGCGTGTAATATTCTTTTTAATGACGCTACACGGTCTCTGCACACAAGCTTTGAAGGGACCTAATTTCAGAGTATTTCAAGTATGGTATACAATATTTATGTAATGTCGATTATTCCCTTTGGGTATTGTAAAACGGCCGACTGTACGTCAAATTTACGTATTGATACCCTTAGCGTCACACTGTATGACGATACCTCACTGTATGTAATTCCTATGTACATCAAATTTACGTATTGATACCCTTAGTGTCATGCTGTATGATGATACCTTTCTAGGGTTAATCTGTTACATTAAGATCGCAATTGTACGCTATATGAACTATCTTCTTAACATATTGAACTTAAATTTAAATTTGATAGTGGTTTAAATTATACAATAACTAATGTTTTATATTTTTTCATAAAACACTGGATCTCTTATAAATGCCTACAATTTTTTCACTAGATAATAATGTATGGGATAATAAGTTTTGAAACGGCAAAAAAAGCTATACGAGTAATTTTTAAATCTGCGTTCAAGGCTCACTAATCTTAATTTCTTTAGCATTGGCACAATCACAATAGAAGAAACTAGTGGCAGCTAATATAGAATTTAGTAGGCCGAGTGTGGCCCAAAATTAGACTGTATCAGTGTGTAAATTGTTATTAGGTTACCATTAAGTGTTCATTATATGCCTGTTAGTAAGTTAAGATTAGCACTGTGCAGCATAGATTTTTAGCAAGTTGGCAATTTTATGACAAAGCAGAATTTGTTAAAGTCACTGTTGCTCATTTAAACAGTGCATTCACAAAATGATATACTGCACAGTCACTTGTTTTCTATGGTATATTTGTATTCCATTTATTTATTGAAATTTTTATTCACTGTGATATTGTCAAAGGTTCTAGTCCATTGATTTTTAATGTTTATTAGACTGAATGACTTAAAATATGTTGTTTTAACAAGCTATAATATACTTGAATATTGAATATTTATTCAGTGAATAAATAGATAATGTTGAATATAAATACATACAAATGCATTTGTATCAAGCAATTCTCAGCGTACATGTGTTTTTTTTTTTTTTAGAATAACACGATGTGGAATTCTGAAATAACTAAAAAATCCACTTATCAATAACAATCTTGAAAACACAGTTATACATTAGTTCTAACTTTACGTCTAAATTAGTTCTAGGCTTTTCTTTGAAGCTGTTTAAGTTTATTGTAAAAGCCTATAAAGATTCCAAAGCCGCCATTAACAGATTACAAACCCCCATTAGATGTTGAATCCAAGGTAAAGAAAAACAATACATCTAACATAATTAAATTTATTCCAACAATCTAAACAAAAACTAAATTACACCTTACAATTTTTAATATTATTACTATAACCCAGGGACACATACACAAATGTGAATGAAAAATAAATTAAAAATGGAGCGATATCATAGAGTAATATATGTGACATTTAAAATGATCGTAATACAATAATTCCAAATAAAAATATAAATTAAAAATAAATAATAAAGATTAAAATAGACATTCGTTTATATTAATCAAATATTGTATAGTAAGATATTCTTACTGTAACAGTATAGTACATGAAGAGGTAAGGTTTACAATACGAGCATAATAGTTTCTTAATTCATATACCATAACACCTTCCCGAGTGAGTGTCGTACGACACTTTTCATCAGACTACCAGATGAAAATGGGTCAAAAAACACAAACCATACATACACAAACAACACTGTATATACAAAACACAACATAATATCAGAATTTTCAATGTTTATTAAAGGTAACGTTTTTAAACCTTTGCAATATTTATTGTGAATGAGCAATGTGCCCTTACAAACCTGTATATATACAACAGGTATATTATGTATAATTTATTATTATGTTTATTTATTATGTATTATTATTTATTATTATGTTTATTTATTATTATGTTTATTTATTATGTATTATTATTTATTATGTATTATTATTTATTATGTAGCTGTATTGATAGCCAACTGAAGGAACTCATAATCCCTTTTTGTCATTTCCGTGCAAAGTGTTTAGTGAATTTACCGGACTTCAGCTGACTTTAATGTTTCCCTTCTGTAAATGACATTCTGGTCGGCAAAGCTCACTAAGCAGCTGATTCTGGAATAATCAGCTGCTCACTAACTGGTGTGGCAAAAATGCACTATCTAAGTGGTTGAGGTACTGTAACGGAGATATCATTCTGAGCAATTTCCCGGAAGACAGCTGAAACAAGAAAAACAGTGTTATTTATCTCACCAGTTGAAGATGTATTTGATATTTTACAATTAAAATTACTCAGTTACAACAGTTTACTTTCAAATTTATTGAATCTGCAAATTATCTTCCACAATATTTCAAAGGTTAAATCTAAATATGTCTTAACCAACAATAGTAAATTGATTTGAATGTCAATTTAGGTATCATTTAGATTGTCATTTTATGGCCAGCATATTCATTTAAATTTTTTAAAGTCAATAAACATTTTTGCAGTAGCTGTCAATTTTTTTTTAATGTTTTAATATGGGTTAAAAATAAAAATGTCCCCTTATTTCTTTCCAAGAATTTTTTTATTTTACACAAAAGATCACAGCTTATCCAAATCCAACCATTGTGAAAACATCTTCAACTGTTGTCACATGAAGACCAAAGTTTAAATAGGCCGGTACACTTTTTTTAACACTGTCTACAAACATTTCTTTTTCCAATCCAGATCTTTCAGATCCAAACTGAGAAAAACACTACTGTGAAGACATTAACATACAGTAAAACCTTGATAACAAGACTTACATGGGGGATTATTAAGACTTGTTATCAAGGTTGACTTCATGTGATTAGGGGTAGAATAAATTATACAGGATTTGAAAATGACACTTGTTATCAAAGTAGATTTGTTATCAAGGTTTCCCTGTATTTTATCTTATTGAGATAAAATAGAGAAATACAAGAATTTAATGCTAATCAAGATTAAATATGCGAACCTTTGGTTTTCATTGTAGAACCGTAGCCCATGGAGGACTCATAGGCTGCGGGTTTTGAAGGTAAGACATAACCACAGCTGATATAGACAACCTGGAACAGACAAAATTGAAATGTTACAACATTGAATGCATCAGAGTCCTACTAATCCAAACTGGACCCTGTTCAGATTACCAATTTGGTCGGATTAGCCAGAAATGCAGACAAATTGTACCAGAATAAGCTATGTAGTTTTGCGACTGTGACCCCACTAAGGTTTTTGGGGGGGATTATTTTACACAATGCCATTGATAATCTATAAAGTTCTTATAAATAGTCCTAATTCTTTTTTATTCATAACTTAAACAATTTTGGCTATTTGTTGGTTGCAACAACATGATGAGTTTGCGATCGCGATATATGCTCTTGATTTTGTTGTAATCACGGGAGATGATCACAATGTCTTCAGGACCGTGGAGACATGATGGTCACTATCACGTGAGGTGATGATGTTTTTTCTACTGCAAGGGAATGTAGAGATATTGCCGTGATCACGGGGGATAATAACAATGTCTTTGAGATCGTGGGAGTGGGAGGTGCTCTTAATTTTGCAAAGATCACCGGTGACATTAAAATTTTAACTGCTGTAGCGGACAATGAACTCGATAGGGCTGCAAACACTGATTATTGTCATGACAACGATGCGACCAGATAGAGGACTGTAGTCTCAAAGAAGACACAGGGAGAAAAGATTTACAATTTTCTCCCGTTCTGCTGGCGTTTGTCTGTTTGTGGCTATTTCATCATTTATGTATTGGGTAAAGACTCTCCTCTATTCTTATTCTAAAAAACGAGGATGGCGGCCTCTTTTAACCTTGGATTTGCTTGTTAACATAAGCTACAGACTTGTGCATGGAACATACCGGGGTGAGTATGTTCCAAAAAAGTAAGGGGTGAGCCGTTACAGTACAGATTGAAAAGTACTGATAAAATTAGTGGCAGGTACGAGGATTTGAGCCCACAACATCGTTAACTTGGGCCCGAAGTCCAGGATTGCTACCGACTGAGCCACTGACTCACCTTCATACGAACAGAGTTCTTGTAGATTTTATGAAAATCTTTGGTACTTTGCATAATCAAAATGTCATTGAATTGTATATTTGGTTTATTTGTGTCAACAAACGTGCATCAGGACCAACTGAAATTGCATTCCTACAAACAAAATACTTACATGAAACTACTGAGAATCTGTTTGGTATCATCGTTGACTCGTGAGTTTGCAAAGCTGATGCACGAACAGTAAAGAGCAACCCAAGCACACCATTTCAGCTGTTGAAAACATAAGTTATAGACAGTGAGTACAGATCATCTCTAGCACTTAACATTTAATGTTTTCAACAAATAAGAAAATATGATTACAAAATAAAATGGAACAGTTAACAAAGTGAATGTGACAAACTTAAACATTTTGTTTGGTTAATTTATTTTGAAATTTTGATTTTTAATGGCAATTTTCTCATAAAACACCATAAAATAAAAAAAATTACATGACAAACGATATGATATAACCCCCAATACTGTAAATATTATCGTTCAAAAGCTATAGCAATTTTTGTGTTTTACCCATAAAATATCATAGTAACTCTCACCCCTTAGGCCCTTACCCATTATAAGGGTTTTTGACAAGCTAATTGGAGAAAGCACTGTGTTAATTTATTGTTAGTCATCATGTTGATGTGTATTTGGAGGCCTTCTAGGTAAAGCTGTGATTGTGAACCATAGTTTTTCTAAAGGTTATTTCAAGATTAGAGGTGTACGAGCGGCTTGACTTTCAATCTAAACTAAGCTTAAAAGCTATAGTGTTCAAGAACCAAGTCAACAAATCAGGCTTAGTCAATCTTCTACAGTAGACTCCCTCTTATCCGGACATCTTTTAACCGGACATCTGTTTAACCAGACAATTTTTATCAGCACATTGGTTTTACCGGACTAGATCGGCAGGAAGTGGTCAGTACTGAAACGACTGTTCTCGTGGGAAAGATTTAAGACCAGTGATCACGTGTCTAAATAAAATGCTCTCCGTTTTAACGAGTTTTTGGAGACGTCGGTTTAACCGGAAAACCCGCTATCCAGACTCGCCTCGGTACCGAGGAGTCCGGATAAGAGGGAGTCTACTGTATCACAATCTCATTGCATTGGAGTGTCTACGAAAATTTCACAGACAAAAATTCACAATGTTTTTGTTTTTGCAACTGCAGAAGATTTTTAATATCTTGCTGTGATTACTATACTCAATTTTAACTTTTTCCCCCATTTCATTTATTTCCATCCATTTTTCTTGCACTTTTGTTAATCCAGAACTAGTGCCAGGGTTTACAATATAGCGCCAGATTTGTAGAGTTCACTGCACATTGAGACACTAACATAAATATTTCAAACATCCAAAATTTGACTCAAAGTATTTTGAATGATATGGACGAGGGGCGTTTTTATTTAAGTAAGAACCACGTATAGCTTTGTGGTTCATGTGTACACAGCTTTGAGACAGCTCGCTGCTTACTGGCGTCATTTGTGAACAGAATAGCACTATTTGCAGCGCTCTAATTTTTGTGGCCATTTTTAAAACTCCCTCATCCATTTCTCACCCAACCCTAAACTCATTGAATTAGGGCCAATCCCTTCAGTCATGTGGTGATGAATGTTCGCAATGAACATTTTTCTTACAGTCAAAAACCGTATCACTGAACTTATCTTGCATGCAACAGAAGACTCGTTAATTATCAAGCTTGTCTAGACATACATACACTGAAGCTTAACACGCCAACTACCGCAAATGGCATGATTCTGTTCACAAATGATGTCAGTAAGCAGTGACTTACACACTAACTACGGAGCTATATAGGCTACATGGACGGCCATTAAAAAACACCCAGCTTGTATTGATATGTAGGAAGATAAGTAAATATATCCTTACCCTCATCATGAGTCCACACATACTGAAAATCATTCCAAGGATATTCATGTAGTCCGGAGTCAAATCATCACTTGTGGGATTTTGAGCGTTCGAAACAGGCTGTTTATACCTGTAAAAAAAATTCACATATATTAAGCACTTAAGCTTATCTGGATAGTTTAAAAGCTATATTCCATAATTTGTTTTGGCCAATTATGTTATTTACTGGCACACACCTTGATAGAAGCACAAATTTCAATTGGAAGCTCTTATTGCATTTGGTGGCTAAAACCAACGATGTAAAGAACTACTGGATTGCGCTCTCAGTAGCACTGTGGGTGCTGTTTTCAGTCTAGCTCTCCCCAGCATCTAATGGCAGTAGCAGGCGCAGCCCATACACTCACCACTATAAAACGCACATTTCTAAGTTGCTGCTCTGTTGAAATATATATATATATATATATGACTTTGAAAATGGCCTTAGAGCTGAAACTATAGTCAGTAAATATTTTAATAAATAATTTTACTTGGGTACTAAGTTTATTAATGTTTAATCTTTATTTATATATAGTAGCCCTATTTTTCTATTTTTCATATATATATGTATATATATATCAAATATTGCTAATGCATGCCAAACTCTTTTTACCATTCTAAACTTTATGTCTGTTTCTTTTAAACTCTTTAAAACCAAACTACATTTTGTCCAGTTTTACCGTTGATGTTTGACCTTAATGCAATAGGCATATTTTTTCTTTCGCTTTTTTGTGACCAATTTTGTAAAATACATTGTCATTACACATTGAAAGAAAAAAGTATCAAGTTTAGCATCAAGTCAAACATAGGTCTGCCGCAAAAACTTTGGCAAAAATATTCTATTTAGAAATGTTTATATAGGTACTATTTTTTCGTTTAATAAAATAGGTTTTAAATTACAAAAATTGTACTTTCAATTTCTCCTTTGTAATTACTTATTATTTTACCATGTAAAATTTGGAACTAGCAATATCAGTTGTCTAAAAACATCTATAAATCGAGTTTAGTGAATTTGTGGTGTTAAATAATGAACTCATGTGGGTTATTTTCACCAAAAATTCAAATGGTAAAAAGAGTTTGACATACGTAGCAATATTTTATCCCATATATTTCAACCGAGCAGCAACTAAAAATGTGCGTTTTATAATTGTGAGTGTTTGGGCTGCGTCGGCTTCTGCCAGTAGATGGCGGGGAAGCTAGACCGTGCGATTGAGCCAGCGATCCATGAGTTGTTTATATTGTTGGCTAAAGCTTGATAGGTGCAGTTTTCCAATTAAAAAAAGTTTAGTCAACAATTGTTCTTTACGAGCATTATCAGGTGGATCGGCTTGTCTCCTCATTTACAAGCCTTACCAGGTCAAGGCTTACAGGATTGGCTCGTCTCCTCAATCCAGATAGGCAGCGGCAGCGCTGACTTGAATCAAGCAACTAGATTCAGATATAAAAAAGCCAATTTTCTGGAAAGGTTAATTTTCTTTTTGTACTTTTACAAATTGACACCCTTCCATATTGGAATTTATTTTATATTTAATATGGTTGACAACAAAAGTAGATTTCTTCAAAGGATTTCAAGGATGCGATACGGTATCTTACAATCCTGCAGAAGTAGGTGGAAACTCTCCTTGGAAGCAGTCAGAGCTTTAGGTAGTTGAGTGAAACTGAAACTAGGCTATCATAAATTGAAATGGCAAATGTCATACGATTGGTCTTGGGTGTGAAACAGAGTATCAAACCATGAAGCAGACTTCTCTGAAGAACCAACTGGTCTGCATCAAAGGGTCAGCAAGGACTTGTGCATCAGTTTTGTCTCAGTGAGAGTTTTTTATAACCGTTGTATTAGCTCTTACGTTTAGGCAAATTGATGTATGTACTCAGTAGGCCTACTTGATAATATTCAACCTTGTTATGGCAGTGGTTTAGTGAGTCGGTAGCGTCGCGGACTTTGGGCTCAAGGCAGCGATGTCGTGGGTTCGGATCCTGGTCACTGCCGATAACATTTTATCAGTAGGCCTACAGTTCACCTTTGTACTGCACCGGCTCACTCCTTGCTTTGCTGTAAACGATCCACGCACGGGCGCTTAGTCTATGTGGACGGGCAAATGCAAGGTTAAAAGAGGCCACCAACCTCTTTTAAAAAAAAAGTAAGCCATACTATAGTTACATATCAACCAATCTTACCTGTGCTCACGATCAGGTCTTCTAGGGTCAGAAATGTGATTTCCTGTATGCATCCTTCAAGTTTCGTAATTATTAATTTATACAACCTGGAAAATGCAAAAAATATCAAACATCAAAAAATTAAACCAAGACACAGTATGAACAAAACCACAAAGCACTATGAATCATGAATCAAGTGTATGTTACATCAACATGAATAAAATATTGAAAAAACTTGTGTCATACAAATCAATGGTTTGCCCACTAGTGCAGACGTTAACCACACCAGGGAGTATCATACCCACAGTGCAATGCCTATAAATTTCCACACTTCGTGACCCCCTAGTAGCTGGATTACAGGACGTTGCCACCGTCCCAGTTAATTTTGCAATCAATTTTGAACTGTAATTTCCACAACAAAGGAAGTAGTAACCTACGGTTTTGTTAAGAATTTAAAGTTATAACATCCCTAATGGATTTCAATCAAAATCTTTCAGGCCGTTTTCGTGAACATTTACAGGTAAGTTAGACCTACCTACAGAACTTGTAACTTAAGCCTATTACTGTAACTTAAAATAAACCATTAGGCCTAATTAACAAAATACAATAGCCAAGTAGGCTAGAGGAAGCGTTTATGAGGTGAGAATGATAAAGTGGTGTTAGGCCTATGAGTTAATAATCCCAGCACAATTTCCTAGACACTTGTAACTCGATGGGTGTTACGGACATTAAATTTAGCGTAAAATACAAAAGTAAAAAGTGTCCGGTCTCATTGTCTAAGTTAGATCTTCGTATATACTTCATCAAACATTTAACAACAATCTATACTTATGTGTATTAGCCTACACCTATAAACGGCTTATAGAATTCATTTTAACTTAAGGGCACGCTTTACCCCTGACGTGCAACCGAATGCAAGGGTTTGCAAGATTTCTGTTTTCACCTGCTACATTGAAGGTAGAATCAAAGTTAAGGTCTCATTTTAAAGAGGGTGAAATTGTCTATAGTTCTTAGTTTCTATATTTCAATTATTTTAAATAAGTTACACACCTTATAAACTTGAGTTGTAGTACAATAAAAAAGGGTCTTTTCAATTAACCTTAACTTATCAAAAAAACGTTTTTTGGACATTTGAAAAACGCAGAACTATAGATTGGTCTTTGTACTAATAACTTATAAGCCGTTTAGAGTGCATAGCTATCATTATTTGTTAATTCTAAAACAGTAATCTTGGAAACGTCTGCAAGCGCTTCTCGCAGCGCTGTCCAATGGTGAAACATAGCTACTGAAGCCCGAGCTGAGGTAAAGCGCACCCTTAAGCTGCACAGGCATAGTTTAGTTTAACCTAATTTCTAGAATTAGGTTTCCTCAGAAGTTACTTTGAGAACTAATTAATCTTTAACTTATCTAACTAGTGTACCTATTATTTGGGAATTGCATTTACATATATTATAATAAACTTAGGCCTAGGCCTAGGTAAAATATAATAGTAGGCCTAGGTCTACGACTTGAAGGTTCTTGACAAGTTTAAATTATTTATGTTTTACACTCGAGAGTAAGCACCAAAACCTATTCAATCTGGTTATATATACTGTATTCGACTTACTAAAATAGTTGCATCCAACAATTTTGAAAGTAACTAGAATGCGTGAAACAAATTAAACCACAGACAATTTGGAAAGTGACAGATTTACAATTATGAATTATTATGAATATGATGAAATTTTGAGGTTAGGTCACGTTAAGTGAGAATCGAAATACAGATCAGTGTCAGTGTCAGTGTTACCACCAACTCTAGCGAAAAGTCCCAAGATCACAAAAGTCCTTAAAAAGTTTGAGGTGAAAATTATAAGCCAATCATAGTAAGAGTAGTATCACGACTCTCGGCTTTTCTAAATTTTTGTGCAGAATATGCGCTCGGGAAAAACGTTTTTCGTTTTTCCCGAGCACATATTCCTTAGAGTAGAGAGGCAAATTTGGGTAGTCATCTACCAGCTACTACAAAACCCCAGCGAGTGTCTGCAACTAAAATCTGTGCTAAAAACGCCTTTTCAGTACACCAAAAGAGATTTAAATTGAAAAATCGTGTTTTTTTTAGAATCCATGCCGGGTAAAATAAATTGTGAGAAAAGGTTCAGTTTTTTATTGCACTTAATAGAATTAATATAGATATAATATTAATAAACGACGGTGGGTTATAACTGAAAGTTCAACTCTAGAGGCACCTAACGGCAATTTGACGAACTATTTCGAACATGTGACTCCTAGCGCACATTGCCAGAGGTGATTTATCCCAATGACCTAGCAGCGACTGAATGACTGAATTGTTGCGAAATTAAATGCTAGTTTGGATCTTATAACATTCGTGTATTATTGTATTAATGTGTTATTAGATATAAGTATTCATTTCCTGTATTAATAATATAGCTATGTATTTAAGATGGTTGTTAATGCATTGTAAATATCTACAACAATAAATTATGTTGTTTTGATTTCAGCGACCTAGCTGTGAGATGAGTTGTTGTGAACGGCAATGAGAGTGAAAATAGCGAATTTCCCGATAGGGAAGTAGCTATTACCGTGGGTGGCACGGTAAGACCTAGCCCCGGGACCCATTTACTTTTTCATTTTGATGTCTCCAGAGGTTAAGAACACCATTATTCGTTTAAAACTTGAGTAATTTTGATGAAATTTGGTTTAAAGGTTTAAAGGCGGGATAAACTAGAATGAGTTTTCAAACCAGCATGATCAGACTATAGGAATGGGGTTTTATGGGGTAAGAAAATTGTTTTTCTCATTTTGACCCTCAAAACACAACATTTCCCAATTTCTCTCTAGACATTTTTAAAGAGCTTCAAAACAAATATTTTTTATTAAAGTGTTTTTGTATGGTTATTGGCAAGGGATAAAATTCAAAGAGTTGTAAATTTAAAATTTCCATGTTATTCTTATGGAGAATATTGTAAAATGTTGTAGTTCTTTTTAATTTTTAATTTATTTATTCACGGTAACACCATTTTTATACAATAGTAAGTTAGCATAATCAATTACAAGATGGTATAATTTACCATCAGAAATAACTTTCAACACCCAACCAAAAATAATACGAAATATTAGTTTGCTTGTTTATGGATATATTTTGATCAAAACTTGGCAAATTTATTTATTTTATACGAAGCTATTATTATTTTACCAAAAAATACACTTTATTAGTTTCCTTTTAGCAGCAAACCTAGGTACTCGTTAAACCTATTGTTATTTAAATAGATTTAATTTGAAAAACAATTCAGAGAAACGGAAACTCGCTTAGTCTGCAGGTTTGCTGCAGCGGGGGGTATTTACAAGTATTGTACTTTTGTAAAATTAAAAATAATATTTGTTTGCAATAAAACCTTGTTTAGCTACAATTTCCCCCTCTTCATCACCATTATTACATTTCATCATAAAAGAATAAAGGGTTCAAACTATTATTTTCAAAATAGTTAAAAGATATGGTAGGATCATAACGTTTACTTAACAATATGAGAAAATGAATATAGATATTATGTCTAAAGTTTAAAGAGCTAAATATGACAGCGTAAAAAACTGAGCGCGCGCTTAAGGGTTAACCAGTCTTTAAACTGGTTCAGGTTCAGACTGTACTTTGTCAAAGAGATAGATTTTTATACCTTTATGGTTTTTATCCCACGGCCACACCACACTACACTTCTTTACTTCATGAATGGTTAATTGGTTCTCCTGTATACCAAAGAAAATCTAAGCGAATTTATAATTTTCACTCTTACAAATGGTAGCACATGTTTGAGTGATTCTCCCTTAGATTAGTCTCTTTAAATCCCCAACTTATAGTTTTTACAAAAGATATTTACACACATTTATAAAATCATTAATCTGTGATTAGTGTAAACATGAAAAATGTGACTACCGGTACTTTCCTTTTCCCCATGCAGGTCGGCTACTGAAATTCTGTATATTCAAAGATATATCAAAACCAACTTTCTAATGGTTTGTTTTACGGTTGAAATTATAAGAGGTCCTTTTATCACTTAAGTCACATATTTTTACGTGTTTGCTACACTTTTCTACTGATTCCAACTAAGATAATTATTGTTATTGCTACAGATATAGACAACAGTCAAAATCATGGCAACTGGATGGAGGTTCATTTTATAATTCTGAGTGTAAGTATTTACTAGTAAATGAGTAATAGAGTTGCAAATTAATTCTGTGTTCTCATAACCATGACTTCATAAATATTTTCGAGTGAATAAATTCCAAGCACTTTGTTTCACACATACTGAGACTGCACGAGGCGGCATTTTTGGAAGTTTCATACAGTCGACTTTGTGGTTGTTTTTTCAAACTAATCATCTACCCTTCTGTGTAAATTAACAATTAATGTAAAAAGTTTTGAAATTTTATATGTTGGATAACTAACTACAGTACAAAAGTACACAGCAATTCAAGGCTTTTTAGGGCAATTTCTTTCTTAGCCATCCGAAGAGCCGTATCCACTGAGTGTTTAATGAAAAAATTTTTTGAAGATGTTGTAAACTTAATGCATTATTGATCAGTGCAGTGTAGTGACAGTCAACTTAACAATGTGTGAGAAACTATAATTTCTTGTTATTTGTGTATGTCAGCTATAAAGAGGCTTTAAAGGTAAAATACCCTTCTTGTTAAAAACAATTGATATTAATTATTTTTGGTTTCAAACAATGCTTAACTCGTTTATTGAACCAAGTAGACACAAAATGTATAAGTTTCGTCAAAATAAAATAACATACAATGGAATTGAACTTAGAATAATAAAATGAACTTTAAACATAATATTTACAAATCATTTTGTTTCAAGGAATTAAGACTCAAGTCGTCAGTCAGGAAGTCACGGACGCTGTAGTAGCATTTATTAATAGAAAAGATTTTAGCTTTCTTTTGTATTTCAGATGGTCTGACTCTGGCTTTAGGTGCGTTGGAAGGTGGTTAAAGATATTTACTGCATTGTAACGGAGATTTTTTTTAAAAAAGGTTGACAGCGGACAGGGACTGGAAGATTATAAGAAGTTCTTACATTGTAAGCATGGTTATGGAAATTATTGAACTTGTCGATGTTTTGTTTTAGGAATGACAAGGTTTTGTAGATGTAAAGTGATGGAAACATTAAGATGTTTGCTGTTTGAAAAAAATGGTTTGCAGGTTTGTCGTCTTTTTAAAGAAAATATAGCTCTAATTGCCTGCTTCTGCAAACGGAATAGAAATAAGGTCCACTTATTCTCATACAGTACCCCCATATGGACAAGGCATAGGTAAGATGTGGGAAAATAAGGCCATAATAGGCGGAAAGTAGGAAATTGGATTTGTCGAATTTGCAAGGGTGCGGATGGAAAATATTCCTGGACTAACTTTTTTTGTTACATGGTCAATAGGATGGTAAAATTTTAACTTTGTTGTCTTAAAACAATCCGAGAAATTTAGTGCAACTAATGATGTGGATACTCATCTAGATGAAAGCTAAAAGATGAGGAAAAATGATCAGAGATGTGGAAATTAAGAAGATGCGTTTTGAGGGAATTGAAAGAGATCAGATTGTCGTCAAACCACTGAGCTAACCTGTTGGCCTCTGTGAATGTTAGTTGTTCCACTCCACAACTAGTTGACACCATAGTTGTTGACTCCACAGTGGGGCTGGACAATGCCAGAGACGTGTCTTCGGCATAAAGGAAAGCCCTGGCCGATTCGATTCCAGTGTGGAGATTGTTTACAAACAACAGAAACCGAGTCGGGCCAAGAATGGAACCCTGGGGCACACCACTCAATGCAGGACGTTAGGGTGAGTTATATTGTCGAAGTAATCCATATTCCATCCGATGGTGAATATTTGAGGATATCCTATTTTGCTTTTGTCCAACCACTATAGAGTAGACTACATGGCATACTTATAACTCCAAAAAATCTTAAGAACTATATGTAGAGTGGACGAAGCTGAACAGTGTAAACCACTGTTTATCCGACTTAATATCATGACAGTTATAAACCTTTATACTTACCAAGTTATTTACCAATCCATATAAAATTACATCTTTCAGATTTCACCACCAGAGATCACTCCATGCACACGACACCAGAGGCATGGCTAAGCTTGATATACACAGGTTGGCAAAAAGGGTTTCTCAGGAAGCACAACTGATTTCTTTCAATAATTTCAAATCTACCTCAAAATATTGACTCATTGATAATCAATTTTATTTACTTGTGTTTACAATGTCTACATTCAATGTTACGTTGTAACTGAATGTACATATGTATAGGTAATTTTAAAAGTGGGCTTCCTTGCACACATAATAGTACAGAAAGCCTTACTTTGGCGCACACCAATATTCTAACCAAACACAAAACAGCGTGCTTTTACTATGATCGTAATCCGTGTATGCTTGAAAGTATGTTGGTATCACTTAAAGATATTACGACTACGATCAGCTGGTGCAGCGTTTGCCATTTAATGTTTGGATTCAACCTAATCTAAAAACCTGTTTTACCATGTTTGAAAGGATAATTATGTATATGATATGTAACTGTAGGAAAAATGTAATGTGTAACATGAGTGCAAAGTGCCCTTGCTGCACTCAAGAAACTTTCCACACTCGCCTACGGCTTGTACGTAAACATTTCTCTTGTATGCAGCAAAGTGCCACTTCGCTTTTTGAATTTTTTCAAAAATAACT